GCTGCTGCAAGCCAGACGCCTGTTTAGGGCTTTTAGGGTTTACGGCTTAGGCAGTAATAGAACATCAAATGGTAACAAAAATGGAAAATGATATGGGTGGTTGTCAAAATTATGGTCCCTTTTTGGATCCCTATTATAATACGGCCCCTAATGTTTAGGGTACCGAAAAAGGGACCATATTTTTGACAACCACCCAATATGGAAACTGCGCTTATAGACAACCCGTACCTTGTGACCTCCCTTCCTGAACCGCAGACTAACCCAGCCTCGAACTTTTCAGTTTGGGTTTGAGGTTTACAAGTAAGGCTGGAGGTTTTGGTTTGGACCCTAAATCGTAGTTTCCATTTTCTTTTCCATTATCCCTATGTAACCCCAATATAACCCTAATATTCTATCTACTTAAGGGGGATATTCTGGCTTAGGGTTTAAGGCTTAGTCAGCTTGGTGAGCAAAGGGCCGCAGAAGTTTGGAGCTTCAGGTGAAGAGTGCTTAGTATTCATATGAAGGGATTTGCTGCGTAACATCTTCCAGCGCCCTCGGCTGTTGAAACATATCATGCGTTAGCTTTTTGCAGAGCTCAGGATTTAGGTTTTAGAGCTTTTGTGCGTAGGTTGGTCAAGTTATATATCCAAATTGTCAGTATTACCCAACTGTTACAGAGTGCGCGCAGCATAGAACTCCTCATCACCTTGACTCAACCCTGAACCCTACATGTGGGACTTTCTCAAAAATTCTCCCCACTTCATGCCCCCCACGGGCCCTCCAAATCCTGCCGTAGAGTCTCTATATAATCCCTTGGCCCCTAAGAATAACTCCCTGTTCGGAGATCTTCAAATCTCTTTGAAATCCTCGAACCTGCCGATAGTGTTTTGAGACACCCCAAACCTTCAACCCTTAATCCTGAAGCCTATAACCCTAACCACCGAGCCCTATATTATATATCCGCTTACATCCCTATATATCTCAATATATCCCTACATATCCCTGTATGTCCCTATAGTTCCCTATAAACCCTTGTATATCCCTGTATACCCCTATATACACTCTGTATACTCCGTATATCTTCAAACGCGCCGGTTATACCACGAAGGTGCAGGCAACGCCGGCGCCAGAGTCGACGTTGGACTTGCGGCCATTATGGAATGGTTTGGGTAAAGGTTTTGGATTTAGGGTTCAGGATTTAGGGTTTAGGCATTTCGGGTTTTGGGTTTGGGGATTTAGGGTTTTGGGTATAGGGATTGAGGATTTGGAGTTTGCAGCTGAGTTACCATAATCGAGACTGAAATGGAAAATCTGAAAATGACATTTAAAAATGAATGACTTAGGGATTCAGGCGTTAGGGAAAGGATTAGGTAGGTAGATACTATCTACAACTTTATAGCCGTACTAGTATAGTTGTAAGCTATAACTTGAACATTTCCCTGCCTAGTTGCAGAACTGGATTCAAGGATTAGGGTTCAGGGTTTAAGGCTTAAGGGTTTAGGGTGTTAAGTTCAAGGATTGCAGCTCCTAAGCATTCAGGAGTTGGGGGTCTTGAGTTGACATTAGGGCCTGCCTTCAAGGAATAAGGTTCAAGATTTGGTTTTCCGGTCAAGGGATTTGGGTTCAGGGATACGGAGTGTATAGCTACGACTCAGAGTCCCATACATGCACAATGTCCTCTCAACTCTTCTCCTTTTTGGGACTGGAACGAAGAAAGCCAAAAACCGACAAGAAACCGTTTGGGGCTTAGGGTTGCTTGAGGTGTCCGGCCTAAGGTCCCGTGTCCCAAATGCAATGCTAAAACCTACGTAAGCGGGACTTCCACAAGATTTGGATTCCCTGATGGAACCTCAACATGGTAGGATTCTCACTACAGGGTCCTGGGTCCTGGCCACAGCACAGATGCAAAATCTTTCAAGAGTCCAGCTTCCCGTGCGTTAGGGGTTTAGGATTTTGGGGTTTAGGGTTTAGGGTTTTGGGGTACGCCAGTTGAAGTTTCAGGGCTACCAAGCACTGTTCAGCTTAGGCCCCACATACTGACAGCGACCACAGAGGTATAATGAAAAGTGCATCAGGGTCCCACTCTAGACCTACCAAACCCTAAACCCTGAACCCTAAACCCTACAATATACTACAATACACCACCATGTGGTAGTTTCCCAAAATTAGGGTACCCCAATATAGACCCCAAAATACTATTATAGGGACCCCCAAGAAGGTACCCCAAATTTTGGGAAACCCCCATGTCTGGCCGAGGGCCTGACCTAAGACATTGCAGCCTCGGTCTGGACGAGACAAGACTTCTTCACAGCATACTCCCTGAATACATGCTTTAAATTAAGGTTTAGGGTTTAGGGTTTAGGGTTGTAGTATATGGGGGTTTCCTAAAATTAGGGGTACCTTTTTTGGGGTCCCCATAATAAGGACCATAGTATTTTGGGGTCTATATTGGGGTTCCCTTATTTCGGGAAACTACCACATGCTTTAAATGCATAGGGCTTAGGGTTTAGGATAGACGTTTATCCCACACCCTAGAGACCCTGGTGGCTCGATCCAGACACCCATCCCGAATCCCCAAGTTCCGAAACGCAATCTTCAAATCACACATAACCCTAAACCCTAAACCCTTAACCCTAAATGATTCAGTTCTATATGATCCCTATCTGAAGCCCCATATGTTTTCTGTTTTTGCGGAAGTAGAAGCGACTCCGGTGTATGGGTTGTACGGGTTGTTACGGGGGAATTAGGGGCACTAAAGGATTCCATTTTCTCATTCCCTACTAAGCAGCAGGTAGCGTTACCATGAACAAGTTATCCAGCATAAGGGTGACAGGGGATCCTATTGATACTGTAAGTATCTATTTGCTGGTTTGGGGTTCAGTTTAGGATTCAGGTTTCAGGGTCTTGGATACCGGTTGAAAAATTCAAGGTTCAGCCTTCAGAATTCAGAACTTAGGATTTGGCTT